CCTCTTTTATAACTCAAATTACCTTGCTAAATCAATTCAAATTACCAAGTTCTTATTTAGAGCAACCAGTGTGGAGGTAGATGTGGTGGGAGATACCAAATATAAGGCACTGGCATTAATAATCTCCTAAGAGAGATAAGAAACTAAGTAAAAAAGAAGAAAACAATGTATTATTAAGCTTGAGAATAGTAGATATGAAAAAGAGAACTTAAAAATAAGTATTTAATAGGGTAATATAAAATGAAGAGAACTATGAAATGGATAACCAAAAGATGGGACTGCCTATGTTATGTTGGTAGAAGAGCTTTGTCAATATTTTGACAATTAAGATTTATTTACCTTGCTGACATCTTATTACCATCAAATGAAATAAAAAAGAGAGAACTAAAGGCTTTTATTTTGATTCTCTAGATTAGAAAGCTTTTCAAAGGACATTTGTCAGGTATGAATAGTCATACTTAGAAAGTTCTCTTCACAACAAATTTAAAAAACACTATGAAGTTACAGAGAGATCAACATGTCAGTGTAAAAGTCAATCAAATATTATTTAAAATCAAAAATAATTCTACCACTGTACTGCATGTAGAAAGTTCTCTTCACAACAAATTTAAAAAACACTATGAAGTTACAGAGAGATCAACATGTCAGTGTAAAAGTCAACCAAATATTATTTAAAACCAAAAATAATTCTACCACTGTACTGCATGTAGATGAATATACAATAACATATTAGTTGACTTTAATAAATAAAATACTTCTCATTCTATTCCATCAACTATGTTGTTTCTTCTTAAGGAGAAGCAGTAGGTGAAATCCAATTTGAAGTTCAAATGCAATTAGCAATTAAACACAGGAGTACCAGATAAGGGGGGCTACACTGAAACTAGTTTCAGGATTTTATCCAGTATTCACATATAAAAGTGGAAAAGATGGTTTTACTTACCACAAGCTATATAATCACCATTGGAAGCAAGGCCTACAAAGTTTTTTTCATTGATATGACCCTTGAAGGAACGTAGACAGTATGGTTTCCCTACATTCCACAGTTTCAGCTGGCTGTCTGTTGAGCTGAGGTAAATACAAAGAGTTAGAGCATATTTAAGATTTCATAGCATGAAACTCATCACTACTAATTAGAGGAAAGTTTGGTGGCTAAGAATGCAGATTCTAGAGCTGGACTGTTTGAGTTACAATATTCAATTTACCATTAATTTGCTTTTGACCTTGGGAAAATTATGAAATCTCACTGGTCTCCATTTTTCATCAATTAAATGTGAAATATAATGATT